CAAATTTTTCATAACAACAATTTTTTATCGCCTATTTTGTTTTACCCTTTTTTTCGGCTTGATAAGTTCCGACCTAAATTATGAGTTAGGACCGAAGTGTAACTCATAGAGTAATTTCGGATAGGGTACACCGTCTGCTCGTCACGCTATCTTATTTTCGGCCGGATAGATTCGTGCAACTTCTTAGTCTAATACCGATCCTAATCTTACTCTTATACTATCTAGTCTCAGGTTGTTTAACTAGTCTCTGCTAGGCTCAATAGATCTAGGGTATACTGGTTTATTGCGGCTGCCTCAGTGCTCGGGAGAGTCCAACTAATTTCTAAGTTAAATTCAAATCTCTCTGGTGCTGAAATTACAAGTAACTTCAGCACTTACAAATAAGTGGGTTGTTAGTTAGATGGATCATGATTGGTTAATATTAAATACTTTACATTGGTAAAACATTTAATTTATCCAATCATAAAATGTAGTTTAGATCAGGTTCCACCCATCCGGGTTTTACAGAGTTTTTTAGAACAGTTCTTCTGTAGTTCAAGGATGGATGATGGACGTTGGTATTTGGCGAACATCATAATTTTCTTCCGCTTCTTCTTGTGACAACGACTGAGTCTCTGCAACAGCATCAATTCTGATTTCAGAATGGTTGGCTATGTCAGGTTTTTCTGTTCTTCGGAGAGAACTTCTTTTGTGTTTGATCTAGCTTGGGAATGGCGTGGAGATTGTGCGTGGAGGGGATGCCTGGTTACTCGGATCTGTACGTATACTTGAACATCGAGGTGGTCATTGGTCTAGTTCAATGAAGTCCTTTTCTGCGAAGTCAAGTCGTACTCTAAATCCTTTGAGTTGTGATTGTGAGCGGCATATCGATTGTAGTTGGTCATTCTCTCTCGAGTGTAGTGGGGTCGTCTTGTCTTTTGATGTTCGTCTTTGGTGTTGTATTCTGATCTATATATTGCATCATGTGATTTTACATTTTATAAAACTTTTATTAGTTTAGTATTTTTTAATTATGATTTTAGTTAGTTGTTTTCACAAAAGCTTTTTGTTTTAGTTCGGTTATTTTGAAGAGTTACTCACCCTTGAGTAGCTCTTATTAAAAATAAAGGTGTGGTCACAAAGCGTGGATGTAGCGCGGTGGGTTAGGCCGGCTATAGAGCATGCTCAGGACGTCCTTTCCTGGTGGGTTAGGCCAGGTGTGGGAGTATAATTTCATGCGATGTTTGTGAGGGGTCCTGTTATGTGACAACGTTTTATGTTGGGTTTGTTGTGGTTTTACTTATGTCTTGTTGGTTATGTACTTTTTCTAAAAAGCAAATTGTTTGTGGTATGGGTTTGTCTTTCGACTTTTTTGTGTTTTATTATTTCTTTCTAAGACTTTGTAATAGTCTTCAAAAGAATAAATTATCCAGTTTTAAACTGGGTTAATCCGGTTTGGGTACCGTTGGTTTCCTTTTCTTAGTCATGCTGTTATTCTATGATTTGTGGTATTTAGTAAGCTGCGTTGGTTAGTTTTGTTTAGTATATGATTCCTTTCCAACCGGGTTAAAGGAAAGTTTGAAACATGTTATTATATGTTAGAGTTGTTGAGTGTGAAAACTTGAAACTGAAATTCATTATTTTAAACAATTCTTCGTGGGCGAGCTGTGCGAGTGTGGATAGAATTTCTGTGCGAATGAATGAAAATATCAAAAGGTTAGTACTGAAATTGCATTTTATTAATTTACTGCATAGAATTTGGAAATTTACTGCTAGTTATGGGGGAATTTTAAGATACAAATTTTCATCATATGTATATTTACTGCTTTTGGGGGAAAATTTTATAAATTAATTTACTGCATTGGTATTATATTTATTTAATTGTTGGTGCACAAGTTTAATAGGGTTTTAAACAGTTTTGAAGAAGTTTGCTATTTTTTATTTTTCTTTTGTGAATTTTTCAGATGATCTAGGATGAAGGCTAAAAATCTAAAGAAAACATGAATAAAGAATGGTGAGTTTTTTAATATTTTAATTAGTTAGTAATATTCATTGAATTCATACTTACCTGTTAGTCGTCGGGGAAAAAACCGTGGGGGAAGATATCGTGAATTAGTTCTGAAGTTGTTAGTAGTTTAGCTAAGATGCGGATGATATTTTTAGTTTGAAGCAGTGGCCAAAGCAATTGAAGTGCCTTAATAGTGGTTAGTTCTTCAGTGCCTACTGCAAACTCATAAGGTGTGTTTTGGATTAAGTTATATAATTTGTGGTTAAATTTAGTGTTGTGGATGAATTCTAAAATTGGGATCTCTATAGGCTGTACAAACTCGTGCGGGATAAGGAAGGGTCGGGATTCTTCGGCGTTGAAGGTCTTGGTGATGGGGCAGAAAATATACATTTGGGTTATGGGGTCATAATTACGAAGAATACCATGGAGGTTAGTGTCTTTAATACAATATGTGAAATTTAGGAAATACGGTGAAGTGTATTTTGAATTGATGAATTGGAAACGATGGTGTGGTTGTCTAGAGGGTGTGTGGAGGTCAAAGTGATTTTGGATGAAACGATAGTAACTGTATGTATGTGTTTGTTTAGTGCGCAACATAATATCGTGTGAGCAGTGTAAATCTCTTTCGTGTGGTGCAAGGAAATGAAAGGTTAGTGAAAAGATTTGGAAGCGTTCTTTAAAACTTTCGTATGCTTGTGTGTTTGTTAGTGCTTCTGAAATAATGTGATCAAACTTTCGGTCGAAAATGTTTAGTGTAAATACATATGGTGTCTTGATGAAAAATTTCTCGGTGATTTGTGGATTAGCGAAGCGATCGTCGTCTAAGAATTGATCTTGGTTAGCTCTGATGATGTTGTGATCGTAGTATTCTAGTGTATATTCATTAGCTCTAGGTGCAGTGTGTATTTTTAGTGATTTTTTATATCCTACGTAAGTAAACTGTCTAGCGGTGAGTGGTGTAGTTAGTCGATATAGCATATCTTTGTTTCGGTCTGTATCGATGGAAGTGTTGGTTAAAGGTAAGCAAAGAGGGTTAGTGAAATGATAGTATGAGGTCCAAGAGAGAGTGGGCATTAAAACGTATTCGTCTACAAAGTTGCGTGTTTCGTTAGCGTCATGAGGGGTGTTTAAGGTGTATTGTGGAAATGAGGGTAAAGTGATAGCTAAAAATTCTT